GCACTTGATTAAGTTGTTTCTTCATTTGTTGAAGGATGGCTGCAACCGTTTTGTTTGGCTCTGTAGGTGATGAGGTTTATAATCTAAGCAAAGTGATTATATGGAAAATCGACCATGATGTTATTCTCCTATTGAAGTCAACTATAAAATTCAAGTGCTCCGCATGCTTCCCGACTGAGGAGACCTTAACATCGTCAGACCTGTACTTACCTTTCTCTGAAGTCTTGTTGCCTTTGAGGATGTTGATGTCATCTTCAATGTGAGTAAGTTGTGTCTTCATTTCTTGAAGGAAAGTTTCAATCTTCTTGTTTGGCCCTGCATAGAAGCTGTTGTAGACGTTATTACATTGCTTTGTGGCTGTAGAACTGACTGGGGTGCTATTGGCGTTATTTCCTAGCTTAGCTAAAGCTTGACTCGCTCCAAACACCACCAAGAACAGCAAACTGCAACGAAAACCCGAGCCTGAGAAAACACAAGTCATTGTGCGAATTTGGTCAAAGCCCAACTTAACCGTAGTTAACTGTATTACGGACTGGTGAAAAAGCGGATGTGACTCATCTTTGCTACTGACAAGGTACTTGCGTCACCAAGTTCGATGCAAGACATTTTTCATGTTTTTCAAATTGAAAGTAGTGTTGATCATTGTTTTGCTCTATGCTCACTGTTCGGTGAAAAGAATATGCAGCCTTCATGTACAGCGTTACCTGATGGAAAATAGAAAATGTTTAAGAAGTAAAGATCTAGCCGAAATTGAACGTTGTATATAATCTCAGTCATTACTTAAACTTTTACTTTGCAGTTTTGGGAAACGCGAGGTAATGTTTTTTTATGAAGACACGTTGTGCGTTAATATACATCAATTATCATTCGGTATATGTTAAAAGAGTATGCTGAGCTGATTATTTTAATAAACGCGACTTTTTAACGTGATTTTATCACTGACTCACTCGATCTGGAACATTGCCATTTGCCTGACATTTTTGCGAACTTTTCTCGGATAATATCTACAAAATCTTTGCACAATCATTGTTCAGTCTTGAAATGAACTTCACGCGACTTTGCAGCGCGTTTGTTGTCATCGAACTCAGTAAGAAGTTTAAGAAAACCCACAACGGCAACTGAACGTCGCTAATCAGAAGGTTTAATGGGCATAACAGCGGTTGTACACGTGCGTAATAATTCTGGTAAATTTCTTTACCATCCTCTGCAATAATACCGCGTCCGTACTACGCCGGAGGAATTTGAAAACGGCGCTTTATTTCACCGGTCAGGCCTTCCGTCCACAATAATCCGTCGCGAAAACTGAGCTTTACGAAAACGCTCTTCAAACTGGAAGAATTTGACACCGCGCCTTTTCGTTTTGGTGTGGATAGAAAACATTTTGAAAACGATGACTACACGATAAGGATGATATTTCACTGCCGGAGTTTTACTCAATCACAAATCCAAAATGACCAGTAA